TAAGATCAAAACAATTTAAAAATTAATTAACATAAATAAATAATGGAAGCTTTTTATCATTAGTTCATTAAATATACAAGCTACTTAAAAAGAAGATTTAATGTAATGAACATTAGGTAATTACACTATTAATAAATCACGCTACAGCTAGACCTAAAAACTTCATACTGTGCGGGTAAAATAATTATTTCGTGTGTGTAAATCATATTTCTGATTCCTCGGGGTGGGCATTTTTGGAATATTTGGGGATGGGTTCGAAGCAAAGGTACGTTTTTAATTACCACCATTATTTTAAAAAATCATTAACTATTATCATTCAATTAGTAACCTACTGAAAACCTCCGCCTGACTTCTATAGAATTTTCTTGAATGAGTCTCTTTTGAGATAAGTATTATCTTTCACTTTTTTAAAATTTAAAGTCGGTTCTATTTTTTCATTTACGGTGCGGATTGTGACAATTAAAGAATATAACAATTATCGAATAAGATATTCCTTATAATGTCTTTTTAACAGTACCTAATTCAGTTTTCGATATAATGAAAATTAAAGAACCTTCCAAAAACTGCAAAAGTCGTCAATTTAGGTCTTTGTTTGTTAACAAACCAACGATCGAATGCAGACAAATTTTGCCCTGTCCTGTCCTGTTAATGGAATACATGTACTGAATTATTCATTGAAGGAATATTGTGTTCTTGATTTCTGGCTTAATATAAGTATTCATATTTACTGCAGAACGTAGTCGGTTTCCAAACAGAATATTGCTAGAGTATAACTGGTATGATATTGCTTGGCCTCTTATAATGTTAAAAATATATTTTAACGTGAGTAATCATTGAAACACTAATTTGTTAATCATAATCTATACATATAATAGTGTCTGAGAAAAGCTTTAGTAGGTATCATCGCCATCTTTCATTCATTTCATTTTCATTTTACATGTATAAATTAATTTATTTACTTGACATTGGCAGAATTGTGCGAAATGCGCAGATAAGCCATTAATTAAAAAAGAAGAAGAAGTGTCTGTCCTGACACACTGACTGACAGATAACGCATAAGCACTGGTCGTAGAGACTTCAAATTTGGAGAGATTTTTGGAAATGCCACCCCGAAGAAGGTTAAAACGGGTCAAAACCTTTGTATGAAACTTCTTTGTTTTGGGACCTATATCGAAAATTGGTATTAGAGTTAAAACCCTGGTAAGATAATGTTATATTTCAGCCCGAAAACTAGCACTTAAAGCGATTAAAATGAGAATGGAATTTCTATGGGGGAATCAAAATGTTACCTTAGCAATCATTGTTTACTAATTGATTGTCATTGAAATAAATGTATCTAATATTATTTTTAAAGTTTTTCTTATATAGTGATGAAAATTGATATTTAAGTTCATAATTTATAAGAAAAATAACATTTTGAATTAAAGCATTTTTTTTTCACGAAAGAAAATACAAATTATATATGTTTAGAGCTATATTATATAGCGTTAAATGTATTTCTACATTGCATTGTTTTATCTCTCTCTATGTTCTGTGGTTTTAGTCTAGGTTGACTTTTAAGATAAAATGTAGTAAGAAAGAACTTTAAACTTTGCTATACTAGATGGCGTTATCGTTTTGTTCAAAGAATTTTGCGTAGATTTCAGTTTTCGATTGAGTTTTATATATACTTAAGATTTGTGTTTTTTCTTTACATATGTATTGAAACTAGATTTGAATTGGATTTCACTAATAAAATACTAAGAAACATTGGACATTTATAGGTTGGTTACATGTATAATTGTTGGTGTACCTTAAATAAATAATTATAGTTTTTTGTTGTAGTGTCTTGGAAGTTAAACATCAAAGAAATTTTCTTAAAAACTGTGTGCAAATGAATACCGCTATTCTATTATAGGAGCTTTTCTATTCTATATAGGTGCAAATGAATGGCGCTATTCTATTATTTAGGCGTCCGCCTAACAGTACGGATATTTTACTCAGTTGGCTACGACATATCTATATATATATATATATATATAGACAAACGTAAGCTAGTCTATATACATAAAAGCGAAAGGTCACTCACTCACTCGCTCACTCATCACGAAATCTCAGAAACTACAATTGATAGGGTTTCAAATTTTGCATGTGGGTTCTTTTTAGCACGTAGGTGCTCACTAAGACTGAATCTTATGAAATTCGACCCCTAATGAGGTAATGGGCTAATGGGGTAAATTAGGGAATGAAAGTTTGTATGAAACTTCATTACTAAAAGTGCTAGGAGTTTCAAATTTTTATTATAACATAGGTGCTCACTAAGACGGGATTTTGTGAAATTCGAACCCTAAGGGTTATTTTTGGGATTGATAATTTGTATGAAACTTCTTTCCTACGAGTGCTAGGAATTCAAATTTTTCATAGGAATCATTTTTATAGACGTAGTATATCTTAAACAGATTTTTGCAAAATCCTATGGCAAAGGCTCTTTACTCATGTCTTGATGAGAAGAAATTCGAAATCGATGAGCTATATATCGCTTCAAACGTATGAGGACGGTCGAACGCTCGATCTACTTCCGATCTGTTTTCGATTTTCTGTTCAGTAATATAGTGTTTTTTTTTTGTGGAATAGAATATCTGTGCTTTAGCATCACCTATCCATATAGGGACCTTCACGCGGGCCTAGTTAGGAATTCTGGGTGTTTTGTTGGTTCCATCCATCAACAATATATAAAAACTTAATAATAATGCATATCTTCATAACCACGCGGATGTAATCACGGGCAACGGCTAGTTCATTATACAGTTTATTAACCTCAATGTTGTCTTCAATAATTTAAACTCGAAAAAAACAGCTGTTAATTATGATCAAGTAATTATGATTTATATTGTTCTTGGTCCATTTATTTTGGTTAAAAATAGGACATATGTTACTTTTTATCGTAATAAAAGGGTTGAAATAAGTTTTTAAGTTTATATGGAAGTTCTTTCTTGTCAAAGATAAAATCATGAAACTTTATATTCAGGTATTTTACACGATATAATGAATAATATTTGTTTTAAAATGCTGCCTAAAGTGAAATATCACACATAAGCAAAAGCTAGTAATATTATAAATTCAAAAGTAAATCTGTCTGTGTTTGTTACGTTTTCAGGCTTAAGCTACTGAAATTTTAATGAAATCTGTGTAAGATTGTGTAGATTTTGGCAAAGAAAATATGTTTTATATTAGACTCAAAGGATTTCTACGCGGTCGACTTCGCGGATGGACGAAACTTATATAATAATTTACTATGAAACTTTTGTATGAATTAAAAGAACGAATATTACGTGTCACTGTATGTACGTTACAGTTTTACATCTAAGCCTTAACAACAATAAACTTTTGTCAGCATAAAAATACTTAAAGCATTTGTGGGTCATTCCCGCTTTGTCCCTTAATTAAGCAGTCTCAAATTTCACCACAACGGAAACGCCCTTCTCTGTTTCTGCAACTTGCCTCGTTAGGCTGAATTCCATTTTGACCTTTTCAGCAGTATTAATGGATTAAGATTTAAAAACAAAGGATAAGAGATTGGCCACAGAGGAACTTAAAATTTTTGTTCCAAATGTATCTCGATATGCCTTCATGTACTAATAAGTTTACAGTGAACTTTGTGCAGAATCTACTATTTCCGATTATACCCGAACGTAGTTATAACTAAAATTTTACCTTTTAACCCTTAAAATCTACGTCTGCAAGGCGTACACGAAAAAGAATATTCGTTCTATTTTTCTAACGGTTGAAATTAACGCATCTTGCTATTAAACCAACTCAAAGCTTGAAGAGAACTTGCCGATGGTGTCAGTACCTATCATTAAAATAATTCCAACCATTTTTTTACTTCAATATTTTATTAAATTTCGATAACAAATAATAATTTGTCGTTTAAACTCCGATTAATTTCTAATCTTATTTTAAGTTACAATTATTGAGTTGAATGAAGTAAGTTGTAAGAAATAAATACAAACCACTTTGTGTTTTTTTAAGGTGATTTTTAAATTTGAAAATGGTACTTGTTATTTTATTTTAATATTCAACTGTGTGTCTTATTATAAATTAACTTTATATATCGTTTTAAAATGATTTAAGATTTACCATACACCATATTTGTTCATATTTGTTGTACTCAGGCAACAATTTGAAATTTTCCGGATTTTCATTCGAAATCAAACAAAAAAGGCCCTCATGTGTCATGTTAATTCGTGCGAGTTACAAGTAGCTTTTACAGTTATGTTCCGACAAAATGGCCTTTTAACACAATTAAAAGGCCATAATGTAACGTTAACACTACATCAAAAATTACTTCAAGAGTTCTGGTATTAAATGTGCAATTTGTAAAAAGAGTTCACGTTAAATAACCCGGGCAAATCCCTTATTTCCGTGGAATGCCTCGTCCGCTTCGAAACCGCTGTATCTGAATACCATTTATTTGTTCCGGGAACAAATAAACTTTTTGTTTTACGTCTTTTTATGATTCCTTATCCCAAAAAATAAAAAACGTTCGTTTGTTGTCTTTCTATCTATCCTATCTTGTCAGTTAAAACCATATTTTAGGTAGGTAATATAGTATAAAAACATAAAAAAAATAGAACCGACAACTAATTTAAAAAAGTGATAAATAATGCTTATTTTTGAAGTCGGGGTGAGTTTTTTGAAGTTTATTAAATATTAACTGTCGGACTTCAATGTAAAAGTATTAGTATAAAATTTTCAAAGAGTATATTAACATAAAGATATAAAAAAGTAGTCTGTATACAAAAAGTATATTATTCTTAACACTCGGTTTCAACATAGAAATCTTTTGTTATTTCGCTGATCATCGTCACGTTTATCATGACATCAAAACATTTAGGTGATATCTGAGGAAAGGCATATTTTGGTTTGTTATAAAAAGAAAATTACTAATTCCATAGAGCTCTGTGAACATTTATTTCGATTGACCTCAGAAATGTTACAGAATAAGGATGCTGGTATCTTATCTAAACATTGAAAGCAATACGGCAAAGGTGATTTAACAATTTTTTGGGAAATATAACTAAACTATTGTTATTAAGATCTTATTGTAATCATCAGTTTGTACCCAATTAGAAACAAAATTGTAACATTTCTCTAGTGAAATTATAGTTTTAAACGGGATTGCTACCAGGTAACTTATTATAATCATTCTAATATAAATTAACATGAATCTTTAAAACAACATATTTTTCTATTGTTGCAGTAACAAAACATGATCGACCCGAGCTCATCTGAAGACGACAGTGAAGATGAACATAAGAAACAACCCACGAAATTGCCCGGTAAGTTTATCATGAGCCTATTAATATATCCATTGCTAGAGCATAGGCGTTTCCAGGCCACGACCCAGCAAGCGGACCCAGTGCGATTGGTCAGCGTTAACGACTGCAGATGAAGCTAGGACCGACGGCTTAACGAGCCAAAAGCACGGAGGAGTTCGAGATAATATATGTTTGATTTGAACTCGATAGGGTATCGAGTTCTTTTGGTACGTTCGAGAAAGTATGAGTAGTATCCGTTCTGACTCATCCCCTTGTACTTTTCAATAAACAAGATAAAAGTTGACTATACTTGGTATCCCTTTATAAAAATCCGTCGAAGTAATAGATATCGCACGAAGAGAATAATATACAAATTAAATTCAAGTTTTTGTTTACAGTCGTACCTCCTGGAACCTTAGCTGGTGGTAGACCATCAGTGCGAGGGAAACCTGAGCTTCCACGAGGGTCCACAGCCGGCCTACCAGGCAAGTACCTGCTAGTATACTTACGATGGTATTTGGAAAGCTTGGTTAATAAATGTATTTTGTCCGAACAATGAAACATGCAGTCCCGGGTCCAATTCCCTAGTGCTTTTTTTATTATAATCTAATAGTTTCAGAGTACATCAGATGTCACGAGTTTTGAAGAATGCGGAGCCTTAAACAGTAATATATTTAAATAATCTGCCGTATTTTCTAAATTTTAAGGAACTACTAACTATGTATGTACGTCGTCTTTACCCGTTGCGCACATTTTACCTACATGACTCAACGCCATAACAGTAAAACTGAGTCATAGCCCTAAACTGACCAAACAAACGAATTTATTTCGGAATTATTCTTTTATACCAGTTATTATTTTTTATGTTATGGCAGATTTATGTTCAGTGACATTCATTAGGACTTATCAAATTAAGCAAATCTGAATGGCTTTTGTTTTGCTAGTTAAATATAATATTTTAGGTTTTTATAATACGCTTCAGATATAACTGGTTTTGGTGTCAACATTATGGTATTATAATCAGCCATCATTTTCAGATTTTTCAATTCAATCAAGTAATCTTTATTTTTGGCTTATAATATAATGTGGAGAGGTAAGATGGGTAACGATTTCTATAATTCGCAATCTAATCTTGTTAGGAGTCAGATATTTTCCCATAATTCTATATTCTACAATCGAAAAAAAATCCATTTGAAGTCCTACTACTGTCAATTTGTCTTGAAACTAAAACCGAAGCTATGACCTATCCAATTATAAAATCAGTTTCTCACCTTATTGTATAACTTTAAATGATAAAGTATTAGGCATCTCATCAAAAACATAACATGGACAAAAATGCAGAAGTCTCACAATGCATTTCTTCTACCGTAAAAAGTTATGAAATCAATGTAAACCAAATCGATTAAACCAGAACCTATCTTCTAGCAGCTACCGAAAAATTAAAAACGGGCTTAATATTTCATAATGTTATAGCTTTTTCTTACTTTTTATGCAAAATAATAACTGTGTTTAAAATTCGAAGTCTGTGGGTCTGCTAGAAGTACCTTAGAATTTTGATGATACGCGTCAGTCAGTGACAAAATTATATATTTCTAATTTGCAACAATTGCATATTTTTAACTTGTTCAAAAATGTTATTTAGAAATGTGCTTTTTATGTGTTGTCCTGTTGGTTACTGAAAGTTTAAGCTTCTATTTTACTCCACAACATAGTTACAGGGGGACAAAAATAGCCCGAATGGCTTCGAGAAAAGGAAGGCCTTGCCCTGTTTATTTTTTGCTTGACTTGGCGGGAGCACTTCCGTGCCCTCAGATAAATTGCTAAGTTCTACCTCAGTTACGGATTAAAGGTAGACGTCGCTCTAAGAAAACACCTAATTAGAGGTGCCCATTTCTCTTGTAATTACAGAAAAAAAATACTTCTTCTTTTTTATATTGCACTAGGTTTCATTATTACATTATTAGTTATGTTATTTTCATATACGATGTAGTGCCTAGTTTTTTTTAGGCAAGCAAATGATTGACAAATATCGCGACTTAAGCAAAAAAATCGTACTAATCTTTTTTATTTTTGCTGAGTACAATTCATGTCTCAGTTGAACATGTTGAGTTTTTGATCATTTGGTAAGAAGGATGCTTAAAGCCAAAATAGTGTCCTTATCTTATATATAAGTATAATTTCGCCACAAAAGTTTTTTGAATTAATAATTTACAAATTATATTTCAATTTAATTTCTTATATTAGAGCTTAATTGGAGGTTATTTCTTTACAAAACCAGAAAAAAATTGGCGATTTTGGTGTGAGCGTTACTTAAGATACTAAATATTACTTTCTTAAATGAAGTACCTAATATTTTAGTAATTAATTTCAGTACATACTTAGTGATACAGCCGTGTTGTAATATAACAAGGGAATTAATATTATTAATGTGTAAATAAACTACATTGAGAGGACTCTTATTTTTCTGTGAAATATCACAGAACAGCTTAATAAGTTAATGGTACATTTATTCATAACATTAGCCTATCTAAGGCAGTTTCCTAATATTTTATTTTCTTTTATAAACTATTTTAATTTTAAAGTACCATTGTTTAATTTTGTAATTGTAATACAACAATAAAAAGGCATTCTATTTTTAAAGGACCAAATGCATAATAACCGTATTAGTTGTATAAAAACTTTTATTGCTGTCAAAAAGTCTGTTTACGCTCATAAAATAGTCACACCGCTGGGAAATTTAAACTTTGACCTTTATCGTCATAGTTATTTAGTTTCGGAACTTTTTTTTAGTAAAGATAATAAGTTATTATCACTCTTTTATTTTTTTATTTACTTTACTACATCATTTATGTATGGCGTATTTTGTAATTAAATGAACATTTGCATTTAATTCATTCATAAATAACTGCCTCAATTTGTCAAAAAAAAAACACAGAAGTCAAAACAAATTATAATCACCAATTTAATTTGTTTTGATAAAAATATTCACTTACATTAAAATTATAAAAATAATGGAGCAATATTTTATAACCTACTGTTAATTACATTTTATAATTTAATTTAATTTCTTGAACGAACAATCACTTTTATTTTAAAATCTCAAATCCAATGGTTTTCGATTCGCATTTTGATTTTCTATTCTTTTGGCATTTTAGGTCCAAGCCCCTTAACAACAGCTCCATTGGCTGCTCCTCCTCATCCAGCCACTAGACAGAGAGAAGCAGCTGCCTTAGCACCACCTACTCATGCGTAAGTATCCATAACTAATCCAAACTAAATGAAATACTATGAATATATCAATACAGGCAGTCCTCGTACTTACGGCATATTAGGTTCTCAAAATACGCGACGTTAAGCGAAACGTCGTAAGTTGAGACATATTTTTCATATGTTTACATGAAAAAGTCGAGGGTTAGGTTCCACACGGACCCAAAATAACCAAACAAAAAACTACATTTATATTAAAGGATTTACAACTTTATTATCAAAAGTAAGTAATTAAACTTAAAATAATTTCAATGGAAAAACAAAATTTGATAATTAAAATATGCTTTGAGAAATAATAAATTAAACTTTGAGCTTAAAGAAATTATCAATTCTCGATTGCTTCGCTTCTTTCTTCTTGCTATCATACAGGTTTTGGTAACACTGATAGGCTGCACAAATTTTGTGATTAACATTAAAACCTCACGGACATTGACTCGCGACAAGTAAATACTCCTATGCGTGAAATCGAAACAATTGACGTATGTTTGAGGAACAGTGTCAAAGAATTGTTTGACGTAACTTGAAACGACGTAAGTCGAGGACTACCTGTAATCGAATATTTATAATTCTTTAAGTACTTTATTTTATAGTTATTATGTTCATATTTTAATGAATCTGAATATAATTAATTCATAACCATTTCGTTTCACGAAACATTGTTGGTAGCTTCGCAGTTATTTTCAGTATTTTATATTATAGAACATAGCAGAAAGATAATTAGCATTGTCATGACAAATATAAAGCTTGAAATATAATGTAAATAGATTAAGCGAAAGAGTTAATAACGCCTGGTAATCATGCAATAGAAAATAGATTCATACATAAAACATAATACTTCACACACCGATATTTTACTTAAAATTTGTCCTTGAATAATATTAAACTCAAATAACGTTTATTGAAATATATCGGTTTGTGTAGACGAATTCACTTACATTGACGACCTAATACTATAGATCGTGTAGATCCTTCTTGCGTAGGACCTCTACGGGAAGTGCGAGCTCGGGAGAAGCGCCAGCGCCGTCACCCAGCCCATCTGGTGCAAGCCACTCTGATAAGGACCAAGATCCCCAGGTAAAATCATAATAAGCTCTCTGATTATATCTTGAGGAGCTCGATGGCGCAGTAGTTAGCAGATTCGGTCTGCGTTGCTAAGATTATACAATTTGGCCAAAAGTTTTTATCACGAGCTCCTCCGTGCTTCAGAAGTCATATGAAGCCGTTGGTTCCGCTTGCTATATTGCTTGCTATCACCCAATTCACATAACTGGGTGATGCACTATGTGATAGTACATAGCCCTATTCGATTTGATTCTATCAGTAGGAAACTTTGCTGTTGCAACTGTATTTGGTTTTATTTTGTATTACTTGATTTTTTTTATGCACAATCTGCCATCTAATGTTTGTTTTTTTTTCCCATCCAATGCAAGGTTGCCTGGAAGAAATCGCTGCCTAGCGATAAGGCCGCCTTTTGAACGTCTTTATGTATTGATTTATGTTTGTTTATGTAATTTTAATATGGTTTGTGCAATAAAGAGTATTTATTATTATTATTATTATTATATTCTGTGCCCCAGAAGTAGAGACATTATTAGGCTAATGAGAGACCAAATCTATATATGCCACACGCCTCAGTAGTAAAAGTTAAGATTCGATTCCTGAATATTTTAAATCACAGTAGGTTTCATGGTTTTAAAATATTTTAAATCATGAATTAGAGAGAAAAATGAAAACAAATCACCGGTCCCAGGTACCCAAACCAGATTTCAAGCTATTACCAATTGAGCTACCCGAGCCCTGACGAGATTGACCAATTTTATCCAGTTCTTGTTACTTTCACTACTAGTTGTAAAAAGTTTTAATCCCATCCTTGGAGGTGTCCGACAGGAGGTGGACTGGTGATTTTTTAGCATTTAAGATAAATATCAATCATATTAACATTTCACGCTATATTGATCAGATAATTTATAACAACTTTTTATTAGGAGAAGATTGAAAAATTGGAAGAAGACAAGAAACGACGTCTCCAACTATACGTATTTGTATCGAGATGTATAGCACATCCGTTTAACGCTAAGCAACCGACCGATATGACTCGAAGACATACAAAGTTGACTCCGCATCAATTGGAAACCATACAAGCACGGTTTCAGGTATGAGAGTAACAATTTAAGTCAATAATACTAATATAACACCTACTTTTGTTATTTACAAGATTAACATAATCGTTTAACAAGATGGTCTTAAAATTAATTTAATTGAAAACGGTACCTAAGTGTTGCTCGGCAAAATTAGTAGCTCAATATTAACCTGCCGTTTGCACAATTTTCGTAAGATCTGTAGCCGTTAAATACACTTGTTATCATCAATACTGTTGATGAAAATTTAGAATGTACGACTTACCACACACATTTGAAGGTTGAAGATCGACCAATATGAGCCAAGAATATGAGCCGATATTATAGTTAATTAAAACACTATTGTTTTATATCGTCATTTCTTTTGCCAGGCTTTCTTGAAAGGAGAGACTCAGATTCTTGCTGATGAAGCCTTCCAAAACGCAGTCCAGTCATATCACGACGTATTTCTCAAATCAGAGAGAGTGGAACAGATGGTCAAGTCTGGAGCTTGCTCTCATCACGACTTCCGTGAAGTTTTCAGAAACAATATAGAGAAAAGAGTCAGGTTTGATATTCATATTCTATT